GTCACTAATTGCTCCTGCCTGTTCAGTAGAGTTCCTTGCAATTTTCAAGAAAGGCTTAAAGTGGTGAGTTTTGGGATACCTGGGGGAAATGATGGTCTGCAAAAAAAGGGGACTGGGACTTGTTGGCCCAGGTAGCCCTTTCCAGTCTTGTGTACCTATATTAATCTAAAATGCATCTATGCAGCATTAGTCTGCTCAGAACAATAGAGTGGGAGGCAGGAATCTGGATTCTATACCCAACTCTGTCCTTTATCTCAATAGGGGGGTGTCTACATCAGCTTGGTCTCAACGCTGCTGCCAGAAAACAAGCGCTGCGCACTCACTCCAGCTCTGCACCATCCAAAACCAGAAATGCCATTCTGAGGATGCTCCAGGGTGCCTCTACTTTGGAGATCTCGCAAGACAGAAGGTTCAAGACTGGCAGCAGGGGGTGTCAGCAGAGTGTCCAGATTTCTGTATTTCCAGGTTTGGTGAATACAGAGTGAGTAGGTGGGACTTATGTTTTGGGCAGCCACCTCCAGAACAATGCGGTGCCAATGTGGAGCAAGCCTTATGTTAGGCATTTTGGAGCATGGGGGCACTTTAAAGGGAACTTAGCTGTGAGTGCAAATTGCTTACAACTCACTTATGCCATCACCACTGCTGCCATCACCCTCCCCACCCACAGTGCTGCCCACTGTGCAAGTGAAACTGCCCACTGCCAAAATACCATAGAAGCCCCCTGGTTCTTCAAACTGGATAAAACGTCTGCAGTGGCTAGACCTTACCTGTGGGCCATAGATTGCTGACCCCTGCCTTATGTGATCCTAAGCCAACTGTTTCTACTCCTCTGAGCCTTGACTTCCATATTAGCGAAATGGAAATAATTGTTCTTGATCATCTTTGTAAAGATCTTTGAGATCCTCAGATAAAAGTTACTAAGTTATCAGTTGATGTTACTATTATACAAAGAAAAAAACACAAACATTTTTGATCATTTGATTAAAAAGCCTTTCATATTTTTTAACAACTCCTTTCCACAAAACCCTGACAGCTCACAGTTCAGAAAGCCAAGCCAGATTTTTCCACTGCATCAGCAATATCTGTTCTATTTGGGCAGCTGGCACAAAGTGAGAAAATTCATTAACATGCTAATGATGTGTCCTATTTAAAATTCCAACCCTTATTATTGTGCGATTAAATCTCTTCCCTTGATGTCTGCCTCCTTATATTGGAGTTACAGGGAGAAATCCACAATATTAATAAAGTACAAAATATTTGACCGATTTCTATATGAGAGGCAGTAAAAAATCAAAGCACGTATGTGCACGCACATGTGCGCACACATTTATAAATGTATTTTAGGGTTTCAAATTTCTCAGGAAGCGCAAATGTTTATAAGCTACTAAAATGATGTTATACACACAACCCATTTCTTAACAGACTTATGAATACAAAGCGCAAGCAGAAGCGGGTACAGGAAGAGATCACTATAGGAAAGCTTTGTGGAAGTTGCAGGAATGGAGAAGAGAAGAAAGGAGAGGTCTTTTATATATAATATAAAATCTTTGGAACAATCTTTTCCCTTTCCGGTAGGTCTTTTATATATAATATAAAATCTTTGGAACAATCTTTTCCCTTTCCGGTAGCTTAAGCTCTCCTCTCTTCTCTTCTCCATTCCTGCAACTTCCACAAAGTTTTCCTATAGTGATCTCTTCTTGTACCCGCTTCTGCTTGCGCTTTGTATTCATAAGTCTGTTAAGAAATGAGTTGTGTTTATAATATCATTTTAGTATCATATAAACATATATATATAGATATATGTATCTATATAGATATATATAGATATATATATCTATATATATATGAAGAAAAGCACAAAGCCAGAGTGGGAGGATCAGGCAACCAGTGACACACCACTGATCTAATCATCTATGTAGAAACAAAAATTGAAGCATCTGCTGCCTATAGTGAAAGATTATCTCCTCCACTACTAATGTAATTAAAACTGCCATAAGTATTCAGGGGCCATCAGAGGGCTTGTTTTCATAGCTGTTAGCACAAATGAACAGCACTCAAGCAAAGCTTGAGTGAAAGCAGTCATACTACAAATACAGCTTTCTGTGCAATGTGATTGTTTCAGCAGCAACAATCTGTATTAGTAGCAGAGAGCGGCCAATCCTTGTCTTAAGTGTCACAGCACTCTAACTTCAAACCAAGCCCCTGATACAATAGCTAGTTCAAATGGAAAGCACAACTAATTCCAGCTAGAGACATCTATGTGTAGATGAGTTTGGGACAACACTCAAGTTATTTTCTGACCTAGCGCTGCAGTAAAAAAAAGTTTGCAGAGACATCTGATACCTGAATGTACAGAGGAAAAGATGAAGAAAAATAATATTCTGGAATTAACAAAAAAAAGTATTCTGTTTCAGATCCTGGAAAACCCAAATCAAATTATTCCGGTTTATTTCTCCATCTTTTTGTTTTATTTGTTACCTCACTTTTAAACAAATTAACATCTTATACTTTTTCTTTAAACAAATGAAGATAATTTAACATCAAAGGTAGCTAAAATCATGACAGGCGGCCTTCTAAGGATAATGATAATGCATGTACTACCTCACTTTACAGAGTCTGCTACTGCTTTCTAAACTCAAATCAATAAGTAGGATATTATACACATTTGCATAATATAGATACTCTTTCACTTGCCAGGCCATTGTTCAGAAACTTGCATTTAGCCTTAAGCGCTATTTCCCATGTATGCTTTTCTTAATATTCCTGTTAACCATGAAAGGGGGTCAGAGCTGTGAGTAGTGGGATATTTACATTTCCTGATAAAACTATAAAGTCAGCATTTCCACTGGGAGTTCTCTTCTCCTCCCTCAGTTTTTCTGAACCAGCATTACTACAAAATAGACTTCATGATGAGTATTGATGCAGCCCAAATTCAGTTATTCAACTCATTTCAACTGCCAGTTGCTAAAAGTTAACTGCAACAACAATCCTAAAAAATCATCCTCATCACCAATCAGACTGCCATTGGAAAGACAGCGCAACATTGAAGGGGGAAAAAGAACCAGCAATCACAGAAAAAGCCTTCTCAATGGTTATGTGCCATCTGCAGTTTAAATTATTCTGTAGTAAAAATCCCATTCCACTTGCTTTTGTTTTATTTTTCAAACATAAAAGTATTGGGTGAAATGACAACTGGTTCCTAAAACTTGTTTAAAAGAATACAATACATTTATAGCAGTAAAAGTGAAAGTTTGGTTTTCAACTAAATTTCCTAACATTTAAATCATGCTGAATGTCCATGACTTAAAGGAGAATCTACCTCATAAAGAAGAAAATAGGATAGATGATACAATGAAAACAAAATATTAACCTTTTTTTATGTACTTCTGAGTAATTTTAGCTCTATAAAGTTTTATTTCACACAGGAAAAAGCTTTCTGCATTTATTCATAAGCTATCACAATTATTTAAAGAAAGTCTCTAGGGTACAAGATGCCAATTTTTTTCAGTCTACTATAGTTATAATATGCAGTAGGTATCAACAAAATATCTATAATTAAAAAAAAGATGGACAGGAGGAAGAAACTAACAATCTTTAAACTGCTACCAATTCTGGTACTTCAGTAAACTCACATAGATATTAGTCTAAAAGAGTACTGAATACAAACTCAGCTGCAGTATGTACCATTGGGAAAATGATGATTTAAAGAAATTCCTTTTTGTTAACTTAGACTAAGTAGTAATTTGAAATGTACAGCTTTGAAGGTGACGAACCTCTTCAATCCACTGGCAAACCCAACTAATAATGAAGCATGCTACATCATCTACTTTTGAATTACCTTTCCTTAGTATAGCACATACATTTTGAAGGGACACAAATAAAAATTTGTATGCCTCTTCTGAATCTTTTCTTGTTTCTAATAGAATGGACGCCTATCTAGCACTGTAGAGGACTATTCTTCTTTCCATTCTTTCATGTAATTTTAAAAGCAACTCTTAATGGCCTACACAATCTATCTCTTTTGGTTTTAAGGTAGCTTGGGTTGACTGGTTACCTAGGAAACACAAGCTATTGTTTTCCAAGAGAGCAATACTCATCCCTCTTCCCCTACCCAAAAAACACTCTGAGGTAGGAAAAAGTGTTTCAAACCCTTGACACTAACTCTAACTCTTTCCCAAGACTGCATCTCTCAGTTTGCATTTTAATGTTACAGGAAATGCAGTACTCATACATTTGTAATCAATTAAATACTGCTCAGGTATTTGTTTAAACAAGCCAGAAAGCCACTTTATCTGGTAACTTCAAGAGGGAATGGCAGGTTCTACTGCATCTAGACTTATTGCTACTTCCTAACTCTGTCAATTGCATTTAGATGATCACTGGTCAAATATCATTTTTCTGCTGTGAAATATAGTTAAGTCACATGGTTGCTTATGTTTAGATGCAAGTTTTAACGGCTAAACCATTTAATTCCTTAATCTTTAAGTAAAGACCTTTGTTTTCAAAACCTTGTGCCTGACAGGGAATTACATCCTTTCACAAGGCACACCTGAACTCAACATTCAATGGCATTAAAGGCTCCTTGCAAGGGCTGCTACTGCTGCGGGCAACCCTATTTTCCACAGAGGCAATGGACAAGTTTATAGACAAGTTGTTATTGTATCATGTATATGAGGCAGATGCATATAAACCAGTATTATTAAGTAGGTTTCAGCCTGAGAGACTTTTTGAAAACCAGGGCTAAGAAAAATGCTGGAAGCATTCTGCACTGAATGTGTACAAAGCCAGAAAAAATGTCACTCATGAATGACAAGACAAAGCCTGACAGCATGTTCAACCTACTGTTTATCAAGGTCCTGCCAAAATTTCCCTCCTAAAAAGTGGTACATTCTGCATGTCACATTTCACAGGGCTGTTCATCAAATCAAGCAGAATCCTGGATCACCCACAACAGAGCACAAGCAAGGCTTCAATCATGCGACAGCTGGTGAACTGCTTACCAAAGGCAGACTCCCCCTGCTCCAGTTCTTGTTTCAGTCTGTTGTGATCTTCTTTAATTCTCTCTAATTTTCGGACATTTCTGGCACTCAGTACCAAGAGCTCTTGGAGAAGTCCCTCCAGCCCTTCTTTCTCAGATGTTAATGATCTAATTTCTTCTGCAAGATCCTTAGCAGTACAGAAATTACGTCCTGCAGATGCATTTGGAGAGCAGGGGTGGACAGGAAAAGAGAAGGAAACAAACAATTGCAACATCAGTAGATTACATAGAAAACATGGGAAATTAAGCAACTAAACATCCAAACAATAGCTTCAACAGCAGTAATGAAAGCCAGGAAAGTTTTGAGTTGGTCTTAATTTTTCTCCTCTACTGAATCTTATTACAGGCAACTCTCTCAATAACCCACTAAAACAAGTTATCCAAAATGATGCTTCATCTTGCCTCATTCGCACACACATAGCATCACAACCTTTTAAATGTTTGTGGAGAAAATCTAATTTGAATATTAAAGTTGAGAGAAATTTCACACTGTGTAATTCATGGGTCATTACACTGCAATCTATCAGATCATCACCAGGTTTTGCAGTGTATTTCAAGTCATAATATGTTTTAAATGGATGTTATCAATCTCTTAGACTGAAAACGCATTTTCTTTGAACAAAGGTAAACCACTAAACAGTATTTCATAAAGGTTTTTTATAAACACCACACACTTTGCTGGTTACATTAAATATGTAATTAAGAAAACAATGAGATCACATGGACAAAGTCTCAGCAGTCATAAATCTCCACCTCTGTCTCTGTGACAGGTGGAGCATAGAAGCCATGCAGGATTCCTCATGTTCCCAGATCACATTGTCCTCACATTAAGTTCAACACGCAGCTCAGCTGCTAGCCTGCTGCTGTCATTTTGATATGTACATTTAACCTCTCTGCATCTCAGCTTTATTCAATGAAGATAACAACACCAAAGTGCTGTGAGGATGAATGCATCAACAATAATGAAATGCTCAGATAGTAAGGGCTTGTCTACACTAGAAAACAAATATACCAGAGTTGAAATAACACAATCCCTATATTATGGACACAGCTTCATCAGGTTCAGGCTGTTAATAGACATAAAACTTTAAATCATTTTGAAGCAGGGGTGGGCAAAATATAGCATGTGGGCTGCATCCGGCCCGCCAGGCACTCTCATCCGGTCCATGGCGCCCCGCAATGAATTGAGACCTGCCCAGTCCTTCTGCCCACGAGGGTGGGAGCAAGGCATCTACACCCACCCCCAAGATATCCTATTATGCCTCACCCCCACCCTTGTGGGCAGAAAGGCCGGCCCCGCTAACACGGGGTGGAGCTGCTGCTGCAGGTTTCCCCGGTGTCCCGCTCCCTCCAGGCAGTGAGTAGAGAAGTGGGGGCAGGGGCAGGGCTGCAGCTGGGCAGGAGCATGGAGTGTGGGGCTGGCTTCAGCACGGAGCCGTCACCTGGGGGGCAGCAACAGCATGGAGCTCAGGCGGGCAGCATGTGGGTGTGAGGGGGGAGGGGTATGGAAATCCCTCCCATACCCCTCTATGGGGCACAGCCCTGGCAGGCAATGGGGGGCAGCAGTAGCAGCACGGGGAGGGAAAAGGGGGGGAAGGAAGAGAGACTCTTCTCGGCACTGGTGCCTGGCTCCTGGCTCCGGCCAGCACCGCAAGAAGCGCACCCCCGCCGGGTCATTTGTTTCCCCGACACTCCCCTCACTCACAGGGCACGGGGGGAAGCCACAGACACTGGAGCGGGCTGGGGCAGGGAAAGCCACTAGCTCCAGCACCTGAGGCTTCTCTCCTGTGTCCCACAAGTGTGGGGACTGCTGGGGAAACAAACAGCCTGGTAGGGGCTATGCTCGTCACTGTAATGTGCAGCACTGGCCAGAGCCAAGCACCGACACCCTCACCTTCTGCTGTGCCATGGAGGGCGTGTGTGTGTGTGTGGGGGGTCCCTACACCTCTCCTACCCTCCCTCACACTCCACAAACCATACACACAGACAAACAGACAGACACACATATACACCCCTCCACCCCCAGTGTGGCCTGTGTTGACTACAGAAGTGTGTTCCATAGTCACTCACCCACACCCCACAAACACCACATAATCCCCCAACATACCCTATGCCCCCACAGAGCCACACTCCCTCACAAACTTCCCCCACATGCCCCCACACCCTCACCCCACCATACACACCCCCACACCCCACCACACAGACCCATACCCAACCACACAATATAAAAGACTAAGAATTTATTTTTGATTTATTATGCAATTGTCGCTATATACAGTACACAAACACAAATCATGTCAAAATATATTTAAAATAAAATTTAAATATGTTATGGTAGGTGTTTGACTTTCAGTGCGTGATTTGTTTTTTCCTGGTTCCCCCCTCTCAAAAGGAGTACTTCTGGGGGGCAAGGGGAGAGACTTCTGGTGGCAAAGGTCAAGGGTTAAGGGTGGGACGTCTGGTCCCAAGATGATGGTCAGGGAGTGGGACACCTGTCAAGGGGTGAGGCTACTCATGCAGCCCTTGACAGCTCACCAAACCTCATTAAGCGGCTCTCTGCCTGAAACAATTGCCTGCCCCTGTTGTAAAGAGTTGGTACATGGATTTGTCACTCACAAGTATACACCAGGTGTCCCAACATAACTGTTTTATTTCTCTGCTTCCAGATCAGTAAAACTGAGCTAATCCCCTCTAAATTAAACCTTTACAAAACAGTTTTAATTTACAAAAGTTTAGGTCCACTTCAGCTTCATTGGACAGATATAACATAGTTTCATAGTAGCTAGAGTCAGGAGGGACCTGAACAGATCATCTAGCCTGACCCCCTGCCACAGGCAAGAATGAATGCTGGGTTCACAAGACTCCAGACAGGTGATCATCCAACCTCCTCTTGAATTTGCCCAAGGTAGGGGCGAGGACCACTTCCCTGGGAAGTTGGTTCCAAATTTTGGCCACCCTAACTGTAAAACATTGCCTTCTGATCTCTAACCTAAACCTATTCTCCTTATTACTATTGTTTCTAGTCACCCCAGGTGGTGCTGGGAAGAAAAGGGCTCTAACTATTTGCTGTTGATCTCCCCTGATGAGTTTTTAGGCAGCTACCAGGTCCCCCCTCAGCCTCCTCTTGCTGAGGCTGAACAGGTTCAGGTCCCTCAGTCTCTCCTCATAGGGCCTGTCCTGCTGCCCTCTCACCAAGCAGGTGGCCCTCCTCTGAACCCCCTCTGGGCTGGCCACATCCCTCTTGAAGTGCAGCCCCCAGTACTGGACACAGTACTCCAACTGCGGCCTGACCAAAGTCATATAGAGGGGGAGTATCACCTCTCTGGACTGGCTTGAGATGCATCTTTGGATGCATGACAAGGAATGGCTGGCCTTGCTGGCTGCAGTCTGGCATTGGCGGCTCATGTTCATCTTGGAGTCAATAATGAGGGAACTCCCCAGCGTGTATGTATGCTGTGGATTCCTTCTCCCAAGGTGCAGCACCCTGCCTTTGTCTACATTGAACCCCATCCTATTCTCACCTGCCCACTTTTGTAGTCTGTCTAAATCTATTTGCAGCCTCTCTCTCCTGTCAAGAGTGTCCACCTCGCCCCCCATCTTAGTGTCGTCAGCAAACTTGGACAGCGTGCTTTCCATCCCCTCGTCCAAGTCACTGATGAAGATGTTAAACAGTGCGGGCCCGAGGACAGAGCCCTGGGGTACCTCACTGCTCACGTCTCACCAGGCTGAGTACAACCCATCCACCACTACTCTCTGGGTGCGCCCCATCGCCAATTTTTTACCTATCCAACTGTGCAGGCACCAATGCCACAGTCGCTTAATTTATTGATGAGGATGGGGTGAGAGACAGTGTCAAAGGCCTTCTTAAATTCTAGAAAGACTACGTCCATGGCAACACTATCATCCAAGGATTTAGTCACCTGGTCATAAAAGGCAACCAGGTTGGTCAGGCAGGACCTGCCTTTGATGAACCCATGCTGATTGCTCTTGAGCATGATCTCCCCTGCTGGCCCCCCACAGATGTGCTCCTTGATGATTCTCTCCAAGATCTTCCCAAGCACTGATGTGAGGCTTACAGGCCTATAGTTACTTGGGTCCTCCCTTTCTTGAAAACTGGGACCACATTTGCCAGTTTCCAATCCCCTGGCACCTGGCCAGAAGACCATGAATGCTCGTACAGCCAGACCAAGGGCTCCATGATGACCCCTGCCAGCTCCCTCAACACCCTTGGGTGGAGGGCATCTGGACCTGCAGATTTAAAAATGTCTAGCCCTTCCAGAAGATCCCTAACTACATCTGC